AATTATGAGATAAAAATATATCATACCCAACTCTATTTATAATTATAGGGAATGTTCATTTATAATTTGATATACTTATACTTTATTTTATCATTTTTATGTGGATCTGTTTAAAGCTCCCTGTTGTTGTAACTATCTTGTTTGTAATCAAATTATATAAAATAAAAATATGGTTATTAATTCCGGAAATATGAGCCTTTTATGGAAAAAAGATGGAATCTAAAAAACGGATTTACTTTTTACAGGGGAGGGCTTTAGCACGCCAACTCTTCATAGGAGAAAATTTTTTATCACGTCATAATATATTATCTTGCTAACCATGCTGTATTTATTGTCAACGAGCAATAAATTTATTTAGCAATGGTTAGATTTTGGGCGTCAATTTAATTGGATGATGAATTGTACTAAAAATTGACATGACTCGGAAAGATCATCAGACCGGACACTGTAAGGCATAACCGTACAAATACTCGTATTTTTGATATTTAATCTGTTTTTGTAAGTCATTATCATCATACCTAAAATTCTACAATTTCTTTAATCATTATATTAATCCGAAAATTATTTCATACATGGAACTATAAATATCTGCGGTCAATCTATAATCTGTCTCCTAATATTTCAGGAGCAATATAAGATAAAACACCATATATATAGACAAAAAAACTAATTAATTATGAAGTTTGTCAGTCAAAAAGATTAAATAAACAAGAAAATTTAGCTTTCTAAATAATAATCAATTTTTCTATTAAATAATTTTTAGAAATTTTAGAAAATAATTTTCTTAAAAACAATATGTATGAAATTTTAAAAACATTTTTTTTTTTTTTTTTGCTTTTCTATAGTTTTTTAGGCTGTAATTTTTTTTATATACACATATATACAGTAAACACATATGGTAGCTGGTAAAAGATTTTTGGAATCTACATTTGGACATATTTCAGTACTAAGTTTGCATAAACAATTATTAAATCATAATATATATTTTTTATTTTAACTATATTTTGTTTAGGTAAAAAAAAAAAATTAGATTCTCGTGACATAAAATTTTAAAATTGACCCGGCCGTCCGGTTTTTTTTTTTATATATGTAAAATTTTTATATGTAATGTTTATTATATTTTATGTGTAACTTTGTAATATATTAAATCGACCTTATCGATCTGTAAATCTCTTTATTTAACGGGAAGTCCTTCCCACCCAAATACTGTTTTAGAATTAAACACGACATGTACAATTATTATCAGCATATTTTTTTATGAAAAAGACATGAACATAGAAGAATTTTTTAAAGATGTTGTGACGAATCTGATAGAGTCAATGTAAAGGAAGAGTTTTATTATTGTTGTGATGAGTGTTATACAACAGTTTCAAATAATGGTAAGAGTACCAAGTTTCAAGTATTAAAAAGATCACGAAAATAATATGTTGAAATTTGAATTTTATATAATAAAGAAATAATTTCATTATATAAAGTCACGTGATAAAAATTTTACTGAAAAAATCATGAATTTTTGTAAAGGCCGGGTCACGAGAATCCAATTTTTTTTTGTCTTCAAATTTTTCCCTATAAAAAATCTTTCAGAAAAATGATCACGTGCCTGAGCTTCTTCGGAATAAAAATTAGAAAAATGATCATTTATCGGAGTTTTTTCCGGAATTTTTTTATAGGGTTTTCTATACATTGTAAAATCTTTTGTAGAGATCATGCCTTACATTGTTGATTGATATCTCAAATAAATGAAAAAAAAAGGTAAATATTCAATATTGTACGATGATGATTGAAAAAATATCGGTCAAACAAAATCAGTATGATCCTATAGGAAACGTGCGATAAATCGGGTTTACAAATTATCATGTTAATATTTCATAATTTAATAAAGTTGAATTTTTTTTTCCATATTCTTGTTTATATAGATCATAAATTTATAATTTTCCTTTTTATAAAATGTGAATTGTGAATCTAAAGTAAAATTTTTATTTTCCGAAAAAATTGAAATGAATTATTTTTAGATATTATATTTCAAAATTCTGCTTAACAACGATAGTTTATTTAGTTTATTCTACGATAAAGAAAATCTTAATACACAATGACAGATGGTTCTAAATTCAATTAAAAAAATGAGCGAGAATAAAAACTTATTCAAATTTCAAGTCTCGTATTATCGATTAAATTTTTTACCCGATCAAATTAATCTTTTCATATTTACCGTAATCATGGGAATGAATCACAAATTAAATTTCAATCAAACAAACCTCCTGAAAAACAATTTCCTGTAAATAAAAATAAAATAGTTTTATGTAAAAATTTTTATCATTAAATTAATAATTTACGTAAGAATATTTTTATTCTTGGAAATCACGGTATTTGAATTATTAACCAATAGGGTTACGTCAAAATATGTGAACTATAAAAAATATAGAATCATGTTACCTAGTTTCTTCAGAAGTACCTTATAAATAAATAATTACTACCAATCGTAAAAAAAAATTTAAAAATTTTATTTTTTAAAAAAATTTGAATTTTACGTTAAAAAATTCTAAAATTTGAAAATTTTCCAAAAACTAACCAGTTTTAAATTTCAATAGAATTTATATTCACATGACTTATAAAAAAGGTAATTCATAACTTGGAAAGGATATAAACAAATAAACAAGCCTCACCTGAAATGAGGAAATACGATTTTTAACGCCAAAATGTGTCTTTTGTTGCACGCTTAAGAAAATGACAAAATTTTAAAAATCCCATAAAACTTGTTTTGCCAAAAAAAAAAAAAAAAAAAAATTCGGCTGGAGATTATCAATGTCAGATTGAATATGACTCTTCAAAGTGATATATGTAGATCATTACAATAATGACGGAAGACTATATTAAATTTTTTTAAAAACAATAACTAATTATCATACATAAAAGAAATTAGAAATACGTCCTCCAGAATATTTTAGCATCAATTTATAGTAAGATCAAGAAAGACAACCAAACGTCGTCCTGAAAAACTAATTTCTGAAGCGTAGTTAACCTGTCACAAAAATTACTTTTTATGATTACGTAACATTTTCTGAAATATTATATCGTTTCCGACATTGCATCACGTTAAATTAATTTCAAAGATGAGAACAATTCTAAAACGATGTTTTGTGTGTACACGGTCATTTGATTTATTTATTAACTTTAAAAGGGAAGAATTTCAAAAATAAAGAACAATAATAAGGACGGCACAATTAATATGGTTAACCGTAGCTTTATTTAGCTAAATGTAAAAGAATTTTTTCTCGTCATCACGTGATATTAGAATATATATGTATTCATTTAAGATGTGCATAGATATATTTATACTAGTTGCATACCTTTAACGGCTTAATCGACTGGCCCTGTTCATCCGTGTCGTTACTTGTTGCAGGAACCACAAGTATTCTTATTTGATTTTTATATGGTACAGATAGTTACATTTTCCAGTTTTTTTGTTAATTCACATAATACAAAGTTATTTTCATACACTTAATTTTTCCCATTTCCCCTTTTTCTTGTTTTTTGGATCTACACAAGGGATTATTTGTTTATGCGCTAAAACAGGTTCACGAGTTATCATGTATCGTCCTGCAGATATTAAGTACTGATTGCAGAGATTATGTATATTGATCGTGCATTCAATTATTTTTATATAAATTAATTTACTATTTAGTTAGATTATATAATGTTTGGTTTTACTCCTTTTTTTCCAAAAAAAAAAAAAAATATTTTTTGTATTGTTTAATACACTACGACATTATTTTTTTTATAGAAAAAAAAGAAAGGTAGGTTAGTATGAAACCTGGTATCGATCAACAATGTATTTATTGATTTAGGAGATAAAATCACGATTTTGTTAGCTTTATTCCTAATAAGTTAATTTTAGCCTTTTCAAACAAATAATAAAAATAAAAATTTATTTATATTCGACGTAAACTTAAAAAAAAAAAAAAATTATTTCTTTTCGCTCATCACTCTTATAATATTACCAACAGATAAATGAACCGCAACAACAATCGACGTTACAATAATAACAATATTAACATTATAAATACTTTTGAAGATGGTACTCCTAAAGATTGGAGAAATTTTATCGAATTAAAATTTAAAGTTACCGGTATTCCTACTCACGTTAAGGAACAAGATTTGAGAAATTTATTTAGCGATCATGGAGCCGTTCATAAGGTAGAAATTGAAACGACAGATGATGATGAAAGTAAAGGCGTTGCATATGTCACTTTCAAGTTCGTATAATCTTATTTTTATTTTGTTTGTTATTGTTACCTAAAATCGTCATCAATTTATTTATCATAAAAAAAATTATTTATTTTTTTTTTTTCCATAGACCTGTACCCGATTACCCATTTTGGGCTAAACAAATACGTATCAATAGAAAACTTTTAAGAATAGCTTATCATAGTCATAGTACAATGACTTTTGTCGATCAAGATGGGAAAACAAAATTAAAATTTTATACTTTTCCAGCTGCAAGTTTAGAGATGGGAGGTTATCTAGATCCGAATACTTTTGTTCCGGAATTTAAATATATCGAAGCTGTGAAATTCACTATTAATTATCAAAGACGTTGTATAATAATCGAATTTGGTGTTCCGTTCGATCAAAGATGTCACTTTTTTAAGTTGGAAATCGCTTTTAAAGATGTAGATGGTGACTTTCATGTTGTACTTGAAAATACGGAAAAAGGTCCTATCGGTTCAATAACTATTGCTAATAAGTTTCCTGCAAAATATTGGGTATTGGATAATAGATTACAATCTAAAGACAATTTCAATTGGTGTTATGATGATTCTTGGAAGCGTAAAACTGAACTTCGCGTTACTCCAAAATCTAAAGAAGAAAAGGAAATACCTCTTCAACCTAATATGCCTGATAAAAGTGAAAAATTGGGTAGATGTCTCGCTTTTAGGATTACTTTAAATTTAGATATGGTTGGTGACAAACCTTTTGAAGGTGTTAAACGTTTTAAGAGAATGATTGACTTATCCAAAGAATATAATTTAGTATCAAAAAATATTAATATTGATGAAACGATCCCATTATGTACCATTGATGGAAGTATTTTACAAAAAGTTGTTGATCGTTCAAAGTTAAATTTTCGTGTTCTTTATATGTTAGAAAGTAATATTTCTTTTAATTATCTTAATAATTATAATCTTAAGGAAGATTTCATTATTTTATTATCAAAATTACCAATTCATGTCGCTATTTATATATTGGAGGGGATTTACTCAAGAAAGAAACGTATTTACGATCCTTTGACATATTTACGATCTGAGTTGCAGATCATAAAATCTAATCATGTCGATATTAATCCAAAATATATACCATCACATTGTGTTATGATGCGTAAAGTTGTAATCTCTCCTACAACTATGTATCTTTTACATCCTACTATTGAAACTTCAAATAGAGTGATTCGACGTTTTCGTGATAAAATGGATAATTTTTTACGTATTCAATTTGTAGATGAAGCATGTGGAAAAGTTGGTTCTTCAAATGGGAATAATATTTACGCTTTATACAATAGAATTTATCATACTTTAAATCGTGGTATCAAGATTGGTAATAGACATTACGAATTTTTGGCTTTTTCTTCAAGTCAATTAAGGGATCATTCTTGTTGGTTTTTCGCATCAACTGAGGATTTAACCGCAAATCATATTAGGGATTGGATGGGGGATTTTACCAGTATTAAAAATGTTGCAAAATATGCTGCTCGTATGGGGCAATGTTTTTCAAGTACCCGTGAAATTCAAGATTTACCTGTGAATAATATTGAAGAAATATCTGATATCGTTAAAAATGGTTACACATTTTCTGATGGTACCGGAAAATTATCTTTTTCATTAGCAAATAAAATCGCTCAAGAATTAGAATTAAAATATATTCCTAGTGCTTTTCAATTTAGACTGGCTGGTTACAAGGGTGTATTATGCCAATCACGTTTCGTACGAGGTGATGAGATAAAAGTTCGTCCTAGTCAATATAAATTTGAATCTAGTCATAATGTATTGGAAGTTATTAGATGTTCGAATTTTATTCCAGCATATCTTAATCGACAAGCCATAACATTATTATCTACATTAGGAATACCTGATAATGTATTCATTGAAATGAAAGATTTACAAGTTAATGAATTGAACAAAATATTTAATGATGAAAGAACGGCTATAAAACTTTTACAAAAAAATTCTGATGAATATGGGATATCAAGGGAATTGGCAGATCTTGTAAAAGCCGGATTTTTACAAATAAAAGATCCTTATGTTACGAATTTAATTTCCTTATTCCGTCTTGTGATGTTGAGAGATCTCAAGAAAAAAGCTAAAATCCGTGTAGAAAAAGGCGCATTTTTATTAGGAGTTTTAGATGAAACTCAAAGTTTAAATGAAAATGAAATTTATTGTTGCGTCACAGATCCAAATGGTAGAAATGGTAGAAGAGTGATCACTGGAACCTGTATTGTGTTTCGAAATCCATGCTTTCATCCTGGTGATATACGAGTAGTTACAGCTGTTAATTGTAAAAATTTGAGTAATCTTATGGATGTTGTGGTATTCCCAGCGACTGGTTATCGAGATATCCCTAGTCAATGTAGTGGTGGCGATTTAGATGGTGACGATTTTACGTAAGTATAAATAATTAAAGTTTTTTTGAATTATTTCTTTTTAAATTTATCGTTAATAAAAATTTATCGTTAATAAAAAAAAAAATTTTTTTTTTTTTTAGTATTATATATGATGAACGTCTAATCCCCAAGAAAAAACGTATTGAACCTATGGCATATGAAGCTCAAAGACCTGACTATATTGAAAATGTAACAATTGAAGATGTTCAATCATTTTTTGTAAATTATATTTTATCTGATCAACTTGGTATAATAGCAAATTCACATTTGGCGAAAGCAGATCATTTTGAAACTGGGGCATTTCACGGACAATGTATAAGATTGGCACAATTACATTCCGAAGCAGTAGATTTTCCAAAAACAGGAAAACCAGCAATACTATCATCAGTACTTCGAGCTAATACTTTTCCAGATTTTATGGAAAAACATGATAAACCTACTTATATATCGGAAAAAGTTTTAGGTATATTATATCGTTCTATTAATGAAGAAGCGTTTAATCCAAGTTATCAAATGGTTCTTGATGATAGATTACATGTTCAAGGATATAAAACTTATGTGGAGGAGGCACGAAAGATCAAAAGTACATATGATGCAGATATAAAAGGATTAATGAATCAATATGGTGTTAAAACTGAATTTGAAGTGACTAGTGGATATATCGTGAATACTATCATAAATTTAGAAAGAAAAAAATCACGAGATATAAATAAATCCGTGATGGATGCTTTTATTTCAATTAGACGACATTATCGAAAATTATTTGAAGAAGAATTTTATGGAAAAGGAACTAATATAATTTCACCTGTAGCTCATAATAGAATGAGAGCTAAAGCTGCTGCTTGGTATTTTGTAACATATCATCCCGCAGAATTAAAAGGTAATCCTTCCGAAAGGATGATTTCTTTTCCTTGGGTGGCATATGATGTTTTGTGCGATATTGTTAATGAAACTAGTGAAAGTAATGTAAATAATGTTATTAATATTAAACCTAACGTGAAGAATAAACAAAAAACGGCGGGAAAAAAATCTAAAAGTAATACTATTAACGTATTACCTAAAAATGATGATATAAATGATGACATCGAGGTATTAAAAAGGTCATTGAATTGAATTACTTGATAATTTGTAATTCAATTTAAATATTAACGGAGTGGGTCGTTAACTAAAATAAAATATCATCTATTGATTGAATCTATTTCTCAAAAAGTTAAAACATTAGAAATTTTAAATAGTATAGTGAATAGTGAATTATTTTAAAAACATTTTTTTTTTTTTTTTTACAAATAGTTTGATCAAAAAAACATTTTCACTAAAAATACCTCCTTCTTTACTCAAAGTAAAAAAATAAATTTGTATTTTTTTTTTATATAAAATAGTATAGTTGAATTATTTTCAAAATATTTTCAATTGATTTGGTCAAAATCAAATTATTAAATAAAAAAAGTAAAATAACATTTGTTTTGATGTCGAATTTTATTTTTTATTGTTATTATTTTTTTTTTCCTGTAAGACGTGGTTGCATTTTTATTTTCTAATAACGATAATGACTAATTTCTTTAAAAAAATCAAATTTGCATATAACAAACTGTACAAATCAAATTTTTATCAACTACGATAATTTTATCGCGATTATCACGATCGGATTAAATTCGTACCAAATCTGTCTGTGGTCGATGGTCCGCCCAGAATTTTCGATCAGTACGACTGTACGACGCGATGTGCCCACCTCGGATGTACAGTATATAATATTTATTGGGTAGGGGGGGTTGAAATATCACCGAACTGCAAAGCAGTTCGGATGACATTTTAACCACCATACCTAATAACTGTGTTATTATGCAGACGTCCAAGATCATGTTCCATATGAAAAACTGTGATAATTAATTTATATGACGTAATGCGTCAAAATATCAAAGATATTTACGCAATAATAATTTATCCAAAAAATATCAGTATGTTAAAAACAACATGATCCTATTTGGCTGCATAATAAACGGTGATAACTAGACCGATTAAATATGTGATATTTGATATGGGTCATTAAACATCAATGATATTTATCTTATACATTGCGGCGGATTTATGAAATTTGGCAAAAACCGATTTCCCCTGCGTACCCTTCAAAAATGTCACGAAAATTCACGTGACTGTTTTTTTGTCACATGCGTCACACCCTTCCTTGTTTCCATTTTCTATAAGTATCTGAGGGACTTAGTTTTTTTCGAGTAGGCAAAAACCCTGCTGCGCCCTCGGGAATTAAAATAGACTTACAGCTTTTTCTAAAAAATGTCAAAGAATGACGCGCCTTTAACACTGGGAAAATGGATTTAGTTGGAAAAGTGGTTAAACGCAAGATTTGGGGTACAAAAAAAATTTTTTGGGCTCATTTTTGGCTTTCACTAATATATTTGGGGACTTAAAATAAAAATTTGGTGACTAAAATATTGTTAAATATTTATTTAATTTGCGTATTTCATAAATCCGCCGTGATGACTTTTTATACCGTATTTTCATTAGAAATAAGCTTCATAATTCTGGTAAAACAATATTAAATACAAAATATTTACAATTGGAAATTTGCGTTGAAATTTTTCATGTCAGCATACTAACACTAAATTTTTATATACAGTACAAAAAACGGAATCTATCATTTTATTTTGTTACATTTTATAATATAAATATAAATATTTTTATTTAATTGAAAAATACATTACAATTTAAAGTTCTATTTAACGCTACTCTTATCCCCAATCTAGTCTAGAAAAAAAAAAATTGCTAATGCTGAAAAGCAAAGCAAAAAAAAAAAAGTACATCCAATTCTAAAATTATAGTACTAAAAAAAGCTAAGCATTAAATAGAATTTAAATTATAATGCGAAAAATAATACTACTATTAAAAAAAAGCTAAATAATGCGAAAAACCGTTGCTTAATTCACGTTGAAATAATAATAAAAATAAATAATGCGAAAAAATTAAATTATAATTGTCATAGACTGTTTTTTTTGCATCCGTTATCATTTAACTTACAATTTATCATCTTTGTTAATATTCAATATATTCAATTGAGAATATCAATTTGTAAAGATTCTACTTAACAAAATAAATTTATTAGTATTTATAAATCTCAATTTATTTCATAAATATTTAATTAATACCTGAACATTCCATGCTTGTTATGTCATTATTTTGTTCGTAGACAGAATTTTTTGGTTCAGAAAGATTATTATCATTAATGTCCAATCGAGAAACATCAATTTGTTGAGATAATGACACTGTTTAATAAATAACAGTTTATTAGTATTCTTCATAATTAATTTAAATACTTTTTATTAAACACTACCTGAAGTTTTAATGCTAATTATGTTATCATTTTGTTCATAATAATCATCAGAATTTTTTGGTTCAGGAAGATTATTAAATTCAAGTAATCTACTTGTATAAGTAGCTTCTGAGTGTGTTTTATATGATAAACTAGTTGAAAGCATACTATTATTTGATAAATTATTGTTTACTAAATCTGCTTCTTTAATTTGTGCTTGTAATTTTATCGTTTGTTTGTTAGTTGATTTATATTGCCATATGTATAAAATATCTCTAATTTCTTCCGCTTTTAATCTCTTTGATGGATTTGCATCTAGGCATCTTTTAATTAAATGCACAATTAATTGAGGTATTTTAATATTAAATCTTGGTCTAATTCCATTACAGATTTTTATTGCTAAATATTCATCATGTCTCATATCATGATATGGAGGTAGTCCAGAAATTATTTCATACATAATTATACCAAAACTATAAATATCTGCAGCTTTTGTATAAGTTTTTCCCTGTAAAATTTCAGGAGCAATATAAGGCAAAACACCATATATGTGATTTTTTTGTGTATTACAATTTGCAGGTTTACACAATCCCATATCAGTTATAGCAGTTTTATATTGAAACTTTAATATATTACCAATATGCAAGTCTCGATGAATCAAATTATTTTCATGAATAAATTCAAGTTCAGTTATAATTTCAAATAAGCAAATAATTTTGCTTTTCCAATTTAATTTATTAAAATTTGCGTCCAAATATTTTCGTAAACTTCCATCATCTGCATATTCCAAGATCATTACATAATTATTTGTTTCTGGATCTTGAGTTATCCCATAGAATTTGACACTTCCATGATCAAATTCTACTTCATGATGAAATATCAACTACATATAAAAGGCATAAAAAATGATATTAGAAAATTAAAATTATTAAAAATTTAAGTAATAAGTATTCATACCTCATTCATAAATTCTAATGTAATATTTTTTGAATCATTTAAACTTTTCAGAGCTACAACCATATTTTTATCTTGTCTTTCCCAGTTATTATTATATCTATTCCATTTATGAATATACCCATCAATCCAGTTTGCTTTATATATTTTACTAAATCCGCCTTTTGCAATATATTCAATATTGTGGAATCTATTATAAGGTATCCATTCTAATGCACTTGTAGTATATTTATGGGCTGATAGCTGAGTATCCTGAATAAATTTATCAATATCATTATTATCACTAGTCCAATTTTTAAAATTCTGTTGATAATGTGTTACATTACATTCATAATTACATTTTTTACATGTATTATTCAAAACTATCATATAATTTTTTGTTCCCGGTTTCTGAGTTATTCCATAAATTTTATGTATTGTAGTTTTCTACAAATATAGTGCATTAGTGAAAATCAAAATTAATAAAAATTTTACGAATAATAAATTTATTATACCTTACTATTCTCAAATACCGATGCAATATTTTCTACAGTGTTAAAATATTTCAGAATCACATACATATTTTGATCTTTTCTTCTCCAACTTTGACTTTTATAATCCCAATCATGTACAAATCCATTAATCCAATTTGCTATATACATTCCAATTTTTTCAATATACTTAATATCATTAAATTTATTATATGGTATCCATTCTAATGCTCCTTTTGTGCTATAATGAGCTAATAGCTGAGTGTCTTGAATAAATTTATCAATGTTATCATTACCACTAGTCCAACATTCAAAATTTTGTTGAAAGTGTATTGCATAACATACACGGTTACATTTTTTACATTTATCATTTAATACCATCATATAATCTTTTGTTTGTGGATTTTGAGTCACTCCATAAACTATATAATCTATTTTAAGCTATAAATATAACATGTTAATAGAAATAGCAAAATTAAAATTTCAAAATTTCAATAATACCTTATT